GTCCATGCACCAAGTAGAGATTTAAAAAGAAAAAGACAGAGCAAAGCTTTCAGTGAGGCCACAGCTGTGTTATTAGCGTCCTGTTCCACAGCAGAGAGCGGCTAAATTAAACCCCACACTGAGAAGAGTGACAGGAATATGAGGACATCAAAGTATCATGCTACAAAAATGGGATCATGTTTGTGCTAGTCTGGAAACCACACACACACACACACACACACACACACACACACACACACACACACACACACACACAACTGTCTCTCACACCAGTGAGCTAACTCACAGGAAACCTACATTGATTTTTTTTTTCTCTAATATGCATGAGTGCACATTCAGCGACACTCACACAGGGGACCTCCCCAGCTTTCCTGACATGGATTAAAATGAGTCTGGATGAATCATTAAAAGTGAATGTTGTTCACTTCTGTCATACAGGCAGGAGAAAAACTCGTAACAGCACATTAAACCTGCTGTCGTTGCTTCTGAAGTAAACTGCATAAATTAGATGACGTATTTTAAATGTGCCGGTAAACACTGAGGTACAAAGATCATACTTGTGCAGTGTCTGTCATAGAAACTCTCACTTAGAAGAGTCCCTTTGACACTGACTCTAGGGGTGATATATCTAGGATCATTTGATAGATCCACTTCTTTCAAACATTTATATTGCACATTTGTTTTTATTTCATCAGATAGTAATTAAACTGCTAAACAATCTTCGACCTTCCTTTTATCCAAAATTCTTACAAGAGTAGTCGACTATTTGACTCCCTGATATAATTCTCAAATGTGTACCTTAAGCAGATAAGGCATAAGCTGAAGAGGAACTAGCATCTCCCACTAATTTAGAAGATTATCGTTTAGCCTGGAAAGCCAGTTTGTCTACTCCTCTATCAACAAAACAAGGACTGAACAGTCACTTATATTTGGTCATTAGAGGACTTTAAGGAGAGCTATTCCAGTGGAATGTAACTTTCTGAAACCCACACTGAAAGTTTTGCTACTTCAAAACCTTCCGTAATTGTGTCCCAACAAGCTTTTCTAATATTCTGGCAATAAAAGGAAGTTTTGAAATGGTCCTATAGCCCATGGGTAGTGACAAGTCCAGGTTTGGGCTTTGTTTTTCCAACAGGAGTTGGACAACACCGTGTTTGAAGTAGCCTG